CTTCTCCTTTTTCATATGCTTTTAATATACCCTTGCAAATTTCGTGCATGGATGATTTGAAAAGGTGGGAGAGTGTCATTTGGTACCGTGCACAGATTTGTCACGTTCCTTTTTCTCTTATCATTCTTTTTTTTTTTTTTTCCTTTTTTTTTTTTTTTTTTTTTTTTTCCCTCTTTTTAATATGCATAGTTAGAGGCCAAGTGCAAAAGGTGTAGCGAGGCCGTTCATGGGGAATTACGGCAAAGGGATCACCCGCTGCATGCTCGCTTATACGAATGTGCAGTCGTACACATCCCTCATATGTACCTCCCCCCCCTCCGCCACAAATGTGCACATCTTCATACAACATATCACCTTTATATATATATAATTTGAAAAGCAATATAAATCCGCCCCCCAAAAAAAGAAAACACCCATAATATTACAAAATTATAATTTGATTCAAAATGTTCAGAAGTATTATCCCAACCACGGTTGGCCTTAACAATTCAAAGTACGTCCATGCGAATATAGATGAGGAATACGAATTATTCGAATCCAACGACAGCGAGGTGAAGGAAAGAAACAAAACAAATGATGAAGCTACGTCGCCAAAACATATTCTAAGTGCGTCCAACTCATACAACATAAAACTGAACCACCTGGAGAATTGCAAAACGCCAGAAGAACTAGCTTTGAAAATCTTAAAATCACAAAATTTTCAAAATAAAAGAAAATATACAAATGAAAATCTTGTACTGTGTGAAAAAAAAAAAAAAACAAATACACACGTAAATAATGAACAATTCATTTATTCCACATATGGATGTCCTCATGGAAGATATTCCTCGTCATCATCATTAGGAAGACAAACTACACAGACCTCCAATTTAAACAACTTCAGTTTTTATAAAGCCCCCCCTGATGGTTATATGTACAATCGTGGGAGTTACTCCTCTGAGAGGAGATTAGACAGGGATATGCTTCCACTAAGGAACTCTTCCAACTACCACGGTTATGTGGACAAATATAAACGATTAAGTGGCACGTATGGGAGCCAGCAAACAGGGTTCTCCAACATCCAATGGTGTCACAACAGATGCGAAGAAATGGCGAGTGCACCTCCCTTCCTTAGTACTTGCAACCATATCGACCAAAGGGTAATAAACGAAATGGACAAAATGAAAGTAGCCTGTAAGTACCAATTTAGCACATTGAACAAGTTCGATAAAATTGGTATATCCCCTGGTAGGAGCAACATCTTTGCTGAACCCCCCCACTGGGTGTCAAAGGGAATAGGAGAAGCATACACCGGAGGGGCTCATAAGGAAGGAGCTCATTATAACGCCATTGATGTGGAGGCGGTCTATGACCACCTGTCCAGTTATAACCCGCCAAAAGTAGAGCCGACTGATGAGGAACCCATAAAAAAGCCCCCATCCGATGACGCAGCATTGCAGCGTTTCCCCCACTCACCGCCTACGAAGGATGTACAGGCAGAAGGAACACACACGTATGGAGATCCCCCAGATGGTACAACTCTTCATGTCAAAGGAGAAGGCGATAAACAGGATAATCCAGTTAGCATATTAGCAAACGCAAAGGAAGGGGATGAACATGAGGATCCATCACAGGAAGGAATATGCATTCCAGATATGCCTAAACAGAAGAGCGTAGAAAAAAAAGCTGAAGCAATAAGCCAATGGAGGGAATCCGCACAGATAGAGGGCACAGCACAAAGTCAAAACACGTTGGGCACAATGGATGACATGCAGATAAAGGAGGTGGAAGCGAAATGGGTAGAGCTAGCACGTGGCGAAAGTGAGCAGCTGTTGGAAGGAGACATAATTGCCGACGTAGAAGAGGGTGCAGGAGCAGACGCGGAGGGAGAATTGCCTCGATTAAATGACCCAAACGAGAACGCCAACAAAGGTATCGAATACGACATGGAGAAAAGCAACGACAGGGTGGTGACCCATTATTGTGACGCTTCTATCCAACCCATAGACAATAACAGAAGGTGGGTCCAGCTCGAGCAACACATGGACTCCTTCCTAAGTATCAACTCGAGTGACATAAACAGAAATAAAAAAATGAAACGAATAGTGACCTCCCTAGAAGGATGCCTCAAAAATGATAAGCACATTGTTTACGATGAAGGAAGCAAGGTCGAACTCGTGTTGGAAAAAATTTTTGCAAATGTGAAGGAATTTCTCAGCAAGGAGATCTGTTACAGAAGGGGTCGGAAAAGAGACATGGAGTTGTCTCTTTCAGGGGAAAGGACAGAAGAAAGTAGACATGCCCATGGGAGCGGCACCTACAGTAACGTGGAGGACCAGAACGGCACGGAGGACGAACGGGACGAAGTTTCCCAAAGCGGAAGTGACACCCACAACCGCGTTGACGAGGAGGATGAGACACTCCGCGCGGGAGAAGGTGCGCATAGAAGTAGAAGCAAGGGCAGTAGTAAGGATGCCACAAAGAATGCACCACAAAATGGCCCAAAGAAGGACGGGAAAAAGGATGTGAAAAAAGATGGGAAAAAGGACGGGAAAAAGCGCGGTCCGAACAATTCGCGAAGCGCCAAGCAACCAAACGAAGCAGTCATGACAGACCTCATATACGGACACTACAACATCTTGTTGTATCTAATTCTGCTCAAGTTCGAGTGCTTCAAAAAATATGTAGACACAGAGGAAATAAATGAACAGGTCCTAATCAACCTAAAGATCAATTTTAAAAATGTTATCCTAAAGTTATGTCAATGTGAAATAAAAAATCGAGTCATTCAGTTCTACCATGTACATGAGACCTACCTAGTACAGCTAAACTGGGTTTATGAAAAGTGCCTCCTTTACCTTTCCGACCTTTATATGTACATAGAAGAGTATGATACTGTCCTGGTGAACCTTCTGGACCTTTGCACCCTCACACTCCAAACCAATTACAATGTACAAAATATTATTTTGAACTCCTCTAATTTGTTACTAAGACTTTTTAGAAACCAGAATCGAAAAAAAATGAAGAAATATGTCCTGGATGATATTTTGTCTAATATAAATAATGTCAATTTTAGGTACAACAAATTGACCTTCCGAAATAGCCAAGTGAATTCCACCTACATACACCTGATTACTTTTCTGCTTATTAAAATTGCAGAGTCCTTTTCGCACTATGAGGGTGATTTAAAGAGGAAATATATTCTGGACCAGCAGCGGGGAGGAGGAAGCAAGGGCACACCGGCGACGAGCACTATTCACAACCGTTTCGACAGTGAGACGGACAACGATGATGAAGATGATGATGAGTACTATGTGGGGAAGTGCTCCAAAGAAACGTGCAACGGAAGGAGACGTAATCGCAGCAGACACAATGGAGGCAAACGCAATACTGGAAACGCCCCCGGAAAGAAGGACGCTGCACAGTCTGACCAATCGCGCAGTCTAAGCATCTTCACAAGCGAAGACGAAGACAACAGCACCTGCAGTGGGGAACCCACAAAAAACAGTCACACAAAAGGAGGAAAGAAAAAATGCACCACTGGTAGGCAACCCCCCAGGAAGTACCAAATAAATACAAAAAAGGAAAAACCAAAATACTCACTAAGGAAAAAAACAACAACAAGGAGTTACCTATACCATTATGACTATGCGAGTACCACACATGAATATGAATCGGAGGAGAAGAACGACAAAAAAAGAGAAACAAATATCAATAATAATAAAAAAAAAAAAAAAAAAAAAAAAACATTTTAACAATGCAGAAAAAGGTAAACTCAAAGGGTGCAAAAAACAACGGAGAAAAGAAAATCAATCAAGTAATAACCACATCTTCAGGAAGGGAAGAAGATCCCTCGGAGGAATCCCTCAACCAATACATGATGCGGAAGAACTTCAAAAGGCTAAACAGTGTAGTCAATTACATACTAATAGAGATTATCGAAAAAACACTCTACCAGGAAAACAAAAATGCTAAAACCATTTTGCAGTCCCTCATGCTGGATTTAATAAAATGCTGCGACAATCCTTTATTCAGCACAAGTACTCTCTTTGTGAAAAATTCTATTCATATATTCTTTGACGTCATTAACAAAAGACATGAAGGAAATGTAAAAGAGACCTGTCTTTTTATATTAAGATACATTTTGAAATATACATTTAATGTTTACAATTATGTGAATGACGCTTGCTTCCATTTATTGTACAACCTGAACCAGGAACTGTGCCAAAATAAATATATAAAGCCCTTCTTTCAATTGGACAATTTTGAGGAAGACAAGGAGGGTCTCTCAACCCACGCTTGCATGACACAGGAGGACATTTCAGGAAAAAAAAAAAATAAACCAAAGAGGAAGAAAGCGTTAAAGAAGGAACACGCCAAGGAATGGTCAAAAGGGGAGGTAATTCATACCAACCCAGGAGAAAGTCTCCCCAGAGAAATGATGAAACTCCTCAGGTGCTGCGACGAGGTGCACAAAAACGATCAACTCCTCCGTTGCCAGCAATGTGAATCGCTTTATCACAAGACGTGCATTTATAAAGACGCCAAGAACATGAACACGCAGAGGGACATTCCTCAAGAGGATATCACCTCGGTGTACAGCAGCCTTTGTCAAACAGGAAAAGATAACCAAACAAAGGGACAGAAAAAAAACGGTCACTGCGAAGGCCCTGAAAAGGACACCACGAATCATATCGAAACAATTTTGCATTCCTCCAACGTAGCAGAACACAACTGTGAGAACTGCAAAGTGAGAAATATAATAAAAGGGATTATCATCAGAGAGGCACAAGGGAACAACACCTTCCTGAATAGCAAATTTAAGAGGAAGAAGGAAAAGAATAAGGGCTTCTACTGTTTTGAAAAATTTGTAAATAAGCTGAAAGCCTTCGTCATTTATTACTACTACTTGGTTGTACACCTCAAAAGTGACAACATCGTTGAAGGCATGGACAGGAGCTTCAATAATGTGTACTCTTACATACTCATCCTGCATAATGATTTCTTCTGCTTGGATGGGGATCCAGAGGAGGCAACTGTGAGGTGCATTACGGGCGAAAAGGAGAACAACAAAAACTACTACAACAAGCACAAGGGCGGCGCTTCTGTGAAGGGCACCGCTTCTATGAAGAGTATCGCTTCTAAGAAAGGCGCCGCTTCCCTGAATGGAGACAAACCCACCCGTGTGAGTAAATTCACCCAGATGCTGTGCCACGAATACAGAAACGCCCACAGGAAGGATGACGAGGCCCTGGCCAAGTGCACCAGCGCACATAACTTCGACATGTACATCAACATCGTGTGGAAGATTCACCTCTACTTTTCCTTTTACGATTATTTCTTCGTAGCCCTCAATCAGCTCTTCTACATACTCTACGAAAACGGAAACAAAAATCTCAGGTACTATAGCATTTCCATAATCAACAATATTATAAGTGATAACTACCTCTACTTGAAGTGCAAACAAACACAAAACATTCTTATGTCTTGCCTGACGGATAATTACCTAAAGGTAAGAGAGTACACACTGTACATCTACTACCACTTCTGCAAGAATTTTCTGGAGGTAGAAAATTTGTCAAATTGGGGCCAATTTAGTGGAGGCATAACCAAACCATCGCTCAGTAGTACCAACACTAAGGATATTGAAGCGAAGGACAATCTCACTCATGAGGAGAAAAATGCACACAAGGGGAAGAAAAAAAGACTCAATCATTACCAACGTAACCAGTCCATCGACCTGAATCAATACATCACAAACGAGATTGTAGACTCCATTAGGAGGTGCTCAAAGGACATAAAAATCAGCATTCGAATTGTTAGTGTGAAAATTTTAAAATACATCATCTATTTTAACGTCTACGCGAAGAGATACCCTCGGGAAGGGGGACAAGCAGGGAGCGGACATGACGATGGGGAGCAGGTGCAGCACCACGTAAACGCTGACGGAGGACAGCGTACCAACCAAAGCAACTGCATCCGCGACAACCTGTCCATCATGAATGACCTGATCGAGCGCTATGTGTCCACCTTCGACAATGAAACGATGAAGAGCGCCGTCCTCGAAATATTTATCGACATTTTCTTCATTAACATATTCACGCAAGCGAAGCGCAAAATGGAAAAAAGGGAAGACAACCCAGAACTAGACCACTATCATCAGGAACATGCCCATGGGGGGGAGTACACAAAAGCCCAACATGGTACAGAGTACCAATCGGAAGAAGAAAGCCAATCAGGGCGTATGGAACAGGATTCCACGATGCATATAAAGATTGAAAAAAATATTTACACGCTCTTCATTCATCTTCTTTACGTAATGAAAAACAAACACAACATAAACATCGTTAGTAAGATGCTCTCCCATATGGAGAAGAACGTGAAAATGTATGACGAGAGGTTGGACACTGTTCTGCGCTTTGTGAGGGAAGATGAAAGGCAGGGGGTGCATCGCTACAGCGCCGCTCGTAGTGGCCTCTACAACGCCGCCCATAGTGGCGGTGCGTCGGGTAACACCAAAGTGGGGGCAAAAAGTGGCTACAGAAATGGGAACAAACGTGGAAGCAATTTACCAACACAGGGGGGATGCTGGACAGGAAAAGGAAAAACCACCAACCACCAAATGAATAAGAAAAATGCACATGTTTCGATGGACGCATATGACGAGCATGAATTCTCCGAACAGGGAGAAACAACCCTCGGACAAACCAAAGAACAAACCAACCTGCTCAAAATTAAAAACAGCATATATAACATATACCTGAGCAACTCCTACAAGTACCTAGAAATTTTGACCAAAAAAAAGGTGAAGTATGTACTACAAGTATGGATCGATAATTTAATTTCCCTCTTCATTACAAGTAGAAGAAATAGTGCCCTCGAAAAGGAAACAAAAAAAATTATAAACATATTTAATATCATAATCGAAATTATGCCCAGCTTATTTATTAAATATATGAATTTTTTTTATCCCTATATTTACAACAACGATGTTTCAAAGGATGTGTGCGAATTATTGTCCTCGATCATTCCTCATTGTAAATTGAACTTAAATTTAAAATTCCAGTTCAAGAGGGTGCATTTCAACAATTCTCTTCTTTATCATCAAAATATTTTTATTTCGAGATCCTATGTCCAGCTGCTCTGCACACTACACACTTATATTTTTGCGGACTTTTTTTATTTCAAGAATTATATCCAAGAGTCCCTTATAAAGCTACACAAATACAAGTTATGCTTCCTAATAAATAATTATGTCGTGCAGCTAAACGACTTTGTGCGTGAGTTTCAGTTTATGACTCAGGAGGAGAAAGAGCATGTGAGGGGGAAACTTTGCCAGGCGTTTACTCAAACAACGGATATTAATGATGGAGAAGAGGGAGATCTCTCGAAGGGACAGAACCACCCCGATCACTACTTCACCTGCAATCTGATCGATATGCCCTATGAAGAATTTGTCAATCACCTGGACCAGTACAAAAAACACATCTTCGACATTTTCTGCGTGACGCATACCGATGTCCTAAATTTAGATAAACATGCCTGGCTCATTTCTGTCATGATGGAATTTATCAACATCAACAAAATTATTGTCAACGATGTGTATGCCGAAGGGGTGGACCCACACACGCATGTCTGGGTTGCCGACACAGTAGAGCGGGCCAAAGGTGTAGAATCGAATCAATACACGAGAAAGAAAGACAAAACAGATCACCAAAAATACGATGACAACAAGCAGAAAAATAGCTTGAAATATATTAAACTCTCCGATATTGCAAAACGTGTACAAATATACAGCCAAGGAACTCTCTACTTCGAATTTATGTACAATAAGGAAGTCGATTATATTAACAAATGGAATACTCGCAAACTGAAAAATGAAATAATTACAGAAATTATTAAAAAAAAAATTAACACTAACAAGATTGAAAAGTTTGTCGATATATGTAACTATAAATTTTTTGATCTGTCTTCAATTGTGGTCAATCTAATTGTAGATTTGTTCTACATTTCGAATGATATAAAATACAAATGCTTTTTCCTCCTATGCTTAAGTAAAATACTGTCCAATTTTTACAACTCCCATTTTATTAACGACTTGAAATTGAGAAATGTTTTCTTTTTTTGCATTAATTCCTTCAATCCAATTCTGCAGAAAAATTTCCTCTACACACTGCTTCAGCTCATTAAGACGTATGAGCAGTTTCTTAACAACAAGGATAATTTGCTCCTCGCGCAAAGTATCAACATGGGGAAGAAATGCCAAAGTGAAGTTCACGGTGGGAGAATCAGCATGGTTGTGCCCCCCAATGAGCAACAAAATAAAAATGCCAAGAAAGGGAAAATAAGCTCCGCCAGGGGCGGAAACGCTAATCATAAGAATTGCCAAAGGGTAGAACGTGCAAATGGGGAAGAAAACACCCACTCGGATGTACACCATGAGGGGGGTGAGAACAAACGCAGATTCCATTTCGACACTCCCAATATAAGTAGTCATGACGAACCAGGAAAAGACAAGCACCTGAAGGAGAGAGTTAAAAGGGAGGCAAACCTGGAGGAGGAAGACACACATGAACCACAAAAAAAAGGCCCCAAAAAACGAGAAAAGGAACCGAATAAGGGCATAAACAAACAAAAAGACAATGCGGACTCCATTTCATACGAACCAAATGAAACGCTACTTATGAGTAATGAGCAAGTCCCGGATAGCCCCAATTTAGGCAACCCAGAAAATGCGCACAACAACGATATCATACACGTCCTCCTCGTGGCTTCCTTATTTTCTCAAAAAATTATTGACCTTCTCATTGTTAACCGATTTATATACACAGACTGCTCTGCAGAAGAACTGTACATGATTAAAAATTTAGGCATTCAGATTTTGGGAAATCTGTACAAAGAAGGATTCATCCAGGGGACGAAAATCTGCCCCAGCATTTTCTGCCTTTGTTTCAGTCCAGATATGAAATTAAAATGTAGAAGTGAAAAAATTATTAATTGCATTTTGGACAAGGAAAGTTACAACTTCGTAAACAGCCTGGCGGAGTGCCTCCAGCATATGCTCTTCTACCTCATAGAAAATCACTACATGTGCAGTAATTTTGACAGGGCGCATTTTGACAGGGGGAATATTCACAGGGCCCATTTTGACCAGGAGAAAAATCGCCCCATGGGGGACACTACCCACTTCCTAACCCCAGACACACTCCTTTTTAACAAGATGGAGCAACCCTTCTTCCAGTGCCTGCTAGACATATATGACCGCTTAACCCATAAAAATTTAAAAATAAAATATGTCAAAACGGTACTTAAAGAAATCGAAAACGCATGCCACCTAGTATTGTATGATAAGGTTCGAAGCTTCATACGGGATGTGGGTGCCAAGTACAACGCCTCCACGGGGGGAGGAACACATGCAGAGGGTAACACTATAGACTGCTCTAGGAGAAATGACTCCAACGTAAACGTCTCCGTTCGCATTCCCCAAGTAAAGGATATATACGCACTCATCGTGAAGAAGTACATGCCGGACAGTGGGTCCAGTGTTCAGAGTGACGATATACGCGACAGTGACTCGGATGAATTTGCCACGAAAAGAGCTACGAGGGGGAATACAAAGGGGGCTAACCGGGAGAGGAACGTGGAGAAAAAAATACAAATGGAGGGAAAGAAGGCGCCCAAGAATAGCGGCAAGGCAAGCAGCAAAATGATGAATAAGGACGAAGAGACATCCACTTGCTCCAATTCAAAGTCTAGCGAAAAAATCTTCGATGAAGATATTTCCGACGTAGGAACCAGCTCAGAACAGAATAGCGATGAAAAAGACATAATCGAAAAAATAAAAAAAAAATACAACCACCTTGTACACCACAAAATGAACGTAGACGAATTTACCTATATTAATTACTTCCTTTTTTTATATATTCAAATTTTGACCTACCTCCTCTCCTACCTAAACTTCACATCATATAACGAAATGGCATTACTAATTCATGATATCAACAAGGTGTACTATGTCATTTCGGCCACTGTTAATATTAGCTCGGAGGGGTACAGCCCCAAGTGCAACCACAGCTACTTTCACTCCATTGATGAACCCATCCAGGAGCTCTCACACGAAGATGAAATGAACCTTGAACGTGACAGCGAAAATTTCTCTAGGGTAAATTTGAACCTTTGTAAAATCAAGTGCTTCGCCATGGTCCTGCTAAACAGTTTGACTAACCACTTGGTGCGGCATTATCAGGTGGACACCTCCAGGTGGGTCGACAAAAAGGGGGGCGTTCGTCATGCTTTGAGAGGTGCATGTGGAACTCCAACACGGCTGAGCCGTGTACCCATGTGGCTACAACTGTGCAATAAGCCACCCCACTTGCATAACCACCTCTATACATTTAATCGCCTAAAATGGGGAACGCCACGTATGAGGGGAAAACGAAAGACAGCTCGATACTGCACATACCCAAACCATTATTCAACTCATTTTAAAAAATATATAAACATATGAAACGCGCATTACTGCGTAAAGTATGCATTTCCCCTTTACTTCCGTGCGTCCCCTATTTTGCCCTGTATTCCCCCGCCCCTGTGCACACATACGTACATCTCCCTTGCGCAGACTCAACGAACTGATCGAAGATGACAACGCAAAAGAAAACAAAATAGAGGAAGAAGTCAGAGAAGAAAAAAAAAATATTTTCAATTATTACGAATACATATATCAGTGCATCGAAATATTCGTAGAAGACAATGCGCTCATCATGGAAAAGCACGCTAGACATAATTTAAACATGCATAACTTGGGCACGCACAATTTAAATAGTGATTACATAAATGGGCTTATGAATGTAATGCTCCTGGGAGAGTGAAGTGGACGTATCGTCTGCACATGTCACTTGTACGATTCGCGTGCAGAACCATGATGCTTCATGGTCACATATATTCCTGCTCACCCCCTCTTCACCTCCTCGCAGGATGGAAAAAACAAAAAATTCGCGCAGAAAAAAAAACAGAGGGAAGTCTCAAGGCAAAGAAGGTTGACCCTGAAGAAGAATCCCTAGCCCAGTTGCCACGCGTCCGTAAATCGTTCTCAACTTGTGCTACTGGTGGAGAATCGCGCCGTCCCTACATGTATATATATGGACCCATGGTCCTGACTTGTGGAGCTGTGTTTTGCACATTGTTCGACGTATTAAGGAAAAACAAAGCGGAACAGACCCATAACGTTGTAAAGGTGTTATTTATTTCATTTATTTATATATATTATTTTTTTGTTCCCATTTTGCAATAAGCTATCCTTTTTTACGAATAATGATGTGTATGTTAAAATTAATATGCGGCTTACACCCCCATGTGGCTACACAAACAAGTACGATTTTGTTTTTTTTGTTTTTTTAACTCACCAGGGGGGATATAAACAAAGGGAAGGCTTATATTAAATTGTGTGAAACGTAAAGGGGGAAAACACAAAAATTGTTTATTTATTTGTTTATTTATTTGTTCATTCATTTGTTCATCTATTTGTTCATCCGTTTGTTCATCCATTTGTTCATTCATTTATTTAAAGTAAAATGTGAAAAAAGTGTTAGTCACTTATTTGTCGTCTTTTTTTTTTTTTTTTTTTTTTTTTACAACACGCCAAGGCTCAATTATGCAACATTTTGTCAACATCCCCTAGGGGCATACGCATATGACTGTTACGATGGCAAGGGCAGAATAATGTTCACCTGTCTGTGTGCTTGTGGTAAGCGGGAAACGATTTACGAGAAGGTGTAGGGGTCCATTTCGGCTTTTTCATAAATGGAGAAAAGGGGAAAAAAATACAATAAAATAAATAAATAAAAATAATAAAGTGCACACAATTAATTGGGTAGAGTAAGATGAACCGTTTTACCACGCTCATGTACATCTCCATTTTTGTATCTTCGCAGGTGCAATGCGCGACGTATGCAACCGTATAGGGATGATTAGCGCAGCAATGATCCGGTGTGTGTTGCACGTGACAAGGAGTGCACGAGACCGTTGCCCGAATGACAGGCCTCCATTTATGTACATGTCCCAGTGACATGTCACAAAAGGAGCACAGTAACTTTAACTAAACTGGTAACTAATCTTTCGTCAATTTTTTAATTAAAGCATGTCCGCATCGTTTGTTTTGGCACTTTTCATTGTAGGAACAAGGGCATAATTATTCCGCCATTGGTGAGGGACTCCTTTCCATGAGGCATGCGTGTGGATCATCGCTTACTGTGAGTGTGAGCACATGCACACTGTGACATCACCTCTATGGGAAGAGTGCGACTGGCCACAAAAGTACAATCCGAGTGGGCATTGTAATTTGTGCTTAGATCCCTCGGGCAGGCAGTCACTCCATACAGGTGACCTCGCTTACATGCTCAAACGATGACATGCATGCATTTCGCCAATACCTTGCAATGTGCTGAACGTGCACCACGAAATGGCTCAGACCCATATAGCGCCTTCTTTTTTCCCCTCGCCAACTTATTTTTTTTCACCCCTAGCAAAATTTTAATACTTATTTTTATTGAACACTTTTTTATAGATTCAACTCCCCGGGTTGGTTTTTCTGCACCCACCTTTGAATACGTAAAATATTCTGCGTTTTTTTTTTTTTTTAAGTCATGACATTAGTCTATGTAACGATCGTATTCGCCCATTAGTAGTTTGTCATTAGCAGTTTGTCATTACCAATTTGTTATTTCCAATTCGTTAGGCCACTTTTTTTTTTTTTTTTTTTAGTGTTCATGCAACTTTAACCAAACGCAAGAATTTTCTGCCTTTTGTTTGCCAGGCGGCACATTTTTTTTTTTTTTTTCCCTTTACAATATTGGTTTTTCTGCTGCCTCTTCTTCACAACCCGCGCTTTTGCGCATTTTTGCTTCCGCCATCCGACTGTTGCGCTTTGCCGTAACCTCTTTTTGTTCCCTTCCTATCGGCCCTTTTTTTTGCCTCTCCTAGCCCCATTCATCCCACTCTACTGCACGCTGCGCGCACGCCCAAGTGCCCGTCAGCATGGATTTAGTTAAATACCTTAACAAAAATGAAAGGGTTCGCAACATATGTATACTAGCCCATGTAGATCATGGGAAGACCACTCTGGTCGACAACCTCATAAGCTCTAACAAAATTATAAGTGACAAGAATATAGGAAAGGTCAAGTACCTGGATAGCCGCGAAGACGAACAAAAGCGGCAGATCACGATGAAGAGCTCCAGCATCCTTCTCAAACACACCTACAATAAGGCCTACTTGGATGAATTATTCCGCGACCGGGCGGGCGATCCGAAGCCGGCAGCGGACATAGATAGGCATACCATTGGCACGGAGAGGCACACGCCTGGGAAGCAGTTTTCCAACGTGGATGGAGAACACTGCAAACCCAATGCCAGCCCAAATGGAAACGCGAGTACCACTCGTAGCGTCATCAAGAAGAGAGAAGGGACGGAGATGGACAAGCAGGAGGATGCTGAAACGGCGGAAGATAGAAACACACATCTTATTAACATCATAGACACACCCGGACATGTGGATTTCTCGTCCGAAGTGTCCACATGCATTCGAATCTGTGACGGAGCACTCATACTAGTAGACTGCATAGAAGGAATGTGCAGCCAAACAAAAATTGTGTTAAGACAGACGTGGAAAGAAATGATCAAAAGTATTCTTGTCATTAACAAAATTGATAAACTAATTACCAACCAAAATATGGACAGCATAAGTGCATATGATCATATAAATAATATCATTGAACAAGTGAATGCGTATATTTATCAGTTATACGTTGAAGAAAATATGAACAACGAGAATGTTGAAACGTCTGAATTGGAAAAGTACACATATTCACCATTAAAAGGAAATGTCCTCCTGTGTAGCAGTACACACTGCTGGTGTATAGATATGAATATCTTTTCTACTCTCTTCTGCAAAAAAATGAATATAAATATAAACAATTCAGATAAAATAAAAAAATATATGTGGAATCAATATTATTTCAATACCAAGGAGAAAAAAATTTTAAAAATTACAAACGATACAAGTACATATACAGGTAACAACAGTAGTGGAAAAAAAAAAAAAAAAAATTTATTCTCATTAGTGGTGTTAGATTTTTTATGGAAAATATATGACATCACAACGATTAATAGGGATGATGAACAGATTAAAAAATTATGTCTGGAATTAAACATGTCTGATTATTTTTTAAAAAAAAATCAACAGAATAACGTAGAAAATAATACGTTCATTTTGATTTACATCATGTCACATTTTTTGAATTTATCAAGGTCAATTTTTAATTCTTGTATTGAAATTTTTCCGTCACCCAAAAATATTGACCCAAACAGACTTTTCAAAATTTATCCCTCATTGTATAATGAAGACATATATCGTAACATAATTGAATGTTCCTCCTCCACTGACTTTACCATCATTTACATTTCGAAGTATATTTGTGCCAATGTGCAAAATAATACTCTTATAGGCTTTAGAGGTTTTTATGACAAAAATACGTTTCTGTCCATATGCAGAATTTATTCTGGTATGTTGTACGAAAATATGTTCCTCTACATTTGCGGCAAGGGCATCAAAACTGTGGTTAAGAAAATTTACATTTGCATGGGTGGGGACCTCCTACCTATTGCCCAGGCCTACGCGGGAAACATAGTGGCCGTCTACTTGTCCATAGTCCACGTGGACGCCCCCAATATGCGGGACAGTGGTGACACTGACGGTGGGGTAGACCAGCCGAAGGAAGACGCCAAAAGAGAGGACGATTCGGTTTCCACGTGGGCACAAGACCAACCCCCCTTTCAAACGGATAATAATGTAAACAAGTCGGGCAGCATTCCCCAAGAGCAACTAATCGAGACGCAAACCGAACACGGAACACCGAGCAGCAATATGCCCCTAAACATAGACTACCATGGTGGGGGAAAAAACGACCTGCAGTACCTCTCAAACACGTTGATGAATTTGATAAAAAACAAACGAAGTAAAAAAGAACACAACATATTTATAATGAACAGTGATGGAGTTTTTCTAAACAAAAATATTACCTTGTCCAATCACAAGAATGCAGATTCGTTTATTCTTCCCTTCACGGATACCTGCTCAACCATACTGCACACCATAATAGAACCCAAGAACATTCAAGACATGAATAAATTTTTGTATGGATTAATCCTACTCTACACATGTGATACTTCCATCGACATCGACTTTAACGAAAGGGGAGAATATATTCTCAAGTTCTGTGGAGAAATACATATGCAAAAATGCCTGTCTGATTTTGTAAACATTTATAGCAACATTGAAATTAAAACATCCGACACGAATATCTCCATTAGGGAAGGAATACAAGAAAATATCGTTAAGGTAAAAAGGAAGAAAAATAAAGTACAAGAAAGTATGAAAGATTTGCACACATACTATGTCACGATTAGCATGGACAATCAAGTCAAAAGCGGGGGATGCGCTGCAAATGCGGAAGGTACAAAAGAAGCTAACAATAAAGGTATGCAGGATAGTGACACTGGTAGCGTAGTGGGGGGAGAAAAAAGTGCTTCTCATAATACCGCCGATGATGATTGTGATAGAAGCAACTGTAACACTCTACGTGGATCCAAAATCGAACGAACAGATAACCATTCGACAAACATCTTCAGACATATTCAGATTGAAAAAGAAAATCATTTCCTAAACATCCTTTTCAATTACAGTCACAATACAATTTGCCAAAAGCTAAACAACAATTCCTTTTACGTTTTTTTAAGTGCTATAAATATGCCCCAAATTTTGCTCCACTTTTTTGACAAACATTATTCAAATATACAAGCCGTGTTAGAAAACAGGTCCATATCTCCTTGCTTTTTAAATTATGAAAAAAATGAATCGTCCTGCACAAATGAACAAGTCATGTACAAGCAGTGTTTGATTAACCTGGAGAGGTGCATCAACGATTTGTGTTTCTGCGATCGAGTTGACTTGGACGACGCACTGGACGCCCCCTCTGGCGTCGACGCAGCCGATGCACGAACAAACCGCATCAACGCTGTTGGCAGCATGGACAATGTGAATGAAGGACCCGCGCCTGGCCCCCCCTCCAGCGGAGAGAAAGCCAGCCAGCTACGCAAAAACAAGAATTACCAACTGGACCTCTGGGATGTGTGCGTGCAAAATGGAAGCGTCACCCTGCTCTATATAAAGAAGTATTTTAGCAAAAAGAAAAATGACGAGTACTTGCTCGACAATATCATAACGAATGAAAAGTACAAACAAATAATTAACCATCGGTCCTTCGTGGACACCTACCTCTCAGACACCAACAGCGACATAAACATCTACTTGAACAATTTATGCCTCGGCTTTAAAATGGCTTCAAAATATGGCCCCATCGCCCAGGAACCTATCAGGTAAAAAAAAGAAATCCTACTTGGTAAATAAGAGCACGTGTGCATATATCTTTGCAAACGAGCGGGCATGTTAAAAACCGCGTACCCACTTCGCGGACTACTTTGTGGACTACGTTGCGGACTACTTTGCATCCTTTTTTAACATGACGAGTTTGTCATTTGGGGTGTCTCTCTACCACATTAATAGTGTTCATTTGGACGTCACGCGGCAGCCGCGTACCATTGTACGGTTATGCAACTACACAAACCACCGTATGGTCCTCCTCCCTACCGCTTCACACCATTTGCGTACTTTTACCCCCTGCACAGAGGAGCCCTGTTCATCATCGAGGGACTAATAATTGACGAGGTAGAAAATGAAAACCTATTCGAAGACGTAAACTCAAAGGAAGAAATTAGTGAATATAAAATTAACGCAGGAAATATCATTGCACTAATGAAAGAAGCCTGTTTAAATTCTGTCCTGCAAAATAAATTACGCATATTTGAACCCATGCTAAGATTAAATTTGACATGTGAGAGTAACGTCCTGGGCAAGGTCTACAACGTGCTGCTCAAAAGAAGGTGCTCAATTTTATCTGAGGAGATCAAAGATGGTTACTTCCTATACTGCATCGACGCCTACCTTCCTCTGTTTAATTCCTTTAAGCTGGCAGAAGAGCTAAGGTCCAAATGCTCTGGCAATGTTATTTATGATATTCAGTTCAGCCACTGGAACAAGCTCAATGAGGACATCTTCCTCTCGAATGATAGCTCCACTGTCGTCTACGACGAGGACTTTGATGTTAAGTTGATGGATAATACTGCCACAGAGATTGTCAATTTTATTCGGAGGGCGAAGGTAAGTGGAGCGCACGGGAGCTTTCCAAGAGGAGGCAACTTTCTCCCTCAAAAAAAAAAAGGAAAAGAAGTAATGTGACAAGGGGAGGGGGGGAAGCTACCCCTACAACTGCTTCACTCAACGCGCATGAATCATTACACCCCGTTCTATTTACAAACTTCTCCACCTTCCTCAGGGCCTAGAAACGAATGAGAAGATAATACAAAAACCAGAGAAGCAGTGTACCCTCAAAAAGTAACACCCGAGGTAGCCATTGGGAACATCTTACGATGCTTTACTTTATCACTCTAAACCCCAAATATGTCGTCTTTGCTATTTTTACGTGATCCATTCAAATGGAAAAAAAATTCTTTACCTTTTTTTTACAAACTGCTAATTTGTACCTTTTTAATCAGCCTTATTGGGATGTCATGTGTGCATACCGAGATATACGCCTGGTGACGCATTAGCACGTAGCTTATGTCAGTAGGTAATATGCACCCCTACACACATATGTTCTTCATTTTGCCTTTTCATCCTTTTCCCTTTTTTTTTGTGGTAAACTTTTTAAGATTCCCTAAACTGTTTGATTAACCCCACTTTTTGCATGTCTCATCGACGCTGCGATTCATTTGCACTTGCTCCTTATTGTTACCCATGCAAGATGCGCAATGGTAAAAATTTGGACAGAGACTGTAAAGCGCTGTTTAACACATTCGTCCAGTTGTGAGCGTCACGTTAGACCACTCACATGTCGCGAGCATACCCCTCGGAGGCGTGTCACCATTTCTCGGTCCATGTATGCCTCATTATTACGGTTTTAGAATTAATACCAACTGGTCGATGCGCCCTGTCTGCGGTTTTGATTCAAACTCACTTCGCCCACCTGGCTGTCTCTTCAAACGGAGGGTGTACAAAAAAAAAAAAAAAGTTGCAAAATGTAGCTAAAAAAAATAAGTTTTACAAAGCACACAAAATGATAGTCAAGTTATGGGCTACCACCTCGTTACACGTGTGGCCACCTTAAAACAACAACAAAAAAAAATAAATAAAATTAAAAAGAGGGTACGGCGGTGACAAAAACCTTGTATAGACACAATAACGGGGTCATAAAATTGTCATGATCCGGTCACAGACACACTTCCAAATCGCTGCCTCATTCCAATTGAGAAACCCATCCGACGTACGCGCAGCGACCAACTCGAGGAAGGTGTCACAAAAATTTGTTCAAAACTGCCGTTATGCTGTTATCAACACGGTTGTTCTTTTTCTTGTTTTTATTTTTCTTCTTATTCTTGGCCTTGTTCAGATCCTTTTTAACGGCCCTATCATATGCATCACTTGGTTTAGCATCATCGGGCACATGGTTCATGCACACTGCATTCTTGTCAACAGTTTTGCAGCACCTGTAGCCCCACTTTTTTTTTTCCGTGTCGTAATAGGAACCATAAACGGACTTGTGATTTTTTACAAAAACATCTTCAATATATTTTGACTTGACAAGTAATTTGTTACAGGTTTTCTCCGTTTCGTTATTACTGCATGGGGCATTTAACCCCGGATGAACAACACTCACTCCGTTGGCCTTTCTTTTTGAGCTTCCTCTTTTACCTTCTCTGTTAATATTGTACAAATGATTCCCAACGTTATTTTTACATCCTTCTTCCTGCTCATTCTTCTTAAGCTGTTGTTTTAAAACGTACAGCTTGTATTGTTCTTCTTTTTTCTTCAGATATTTTTCTTCCTCTTCCTTTCGCTTTCTTTCTTTCTCTTCAGCTAGCCATACTCTTTCAAGATTTTTTATGTTACCTGTGGAGTGGGGCAATGGATCAATTAGTGGGGGAAAATTTCTTCGAGCGGGGGAACACACTGGAAAAGCAGTCTTCCTCCATCTGTGATTCCTCCCTTTGTGGTGATGACGGGGGAGCCCCAATTGAGACACGCACAAGAATTATGCATATTTTACGCTAATGCGGTGCGTACAAGAGGCGTGTTTTTCAGGAAAGCCTCCCTGCCTTGAATGTTTTACCTGGATGGAAATGCTTGTGGTTTATGAAGGAAGCACTTTTATTACCAATTTTGTTTATCCACATTTTTTTTTTTTTTTTAGCAAAACGGGAAGGGGACAACTGGCCGAAGAGGCATCATGGCATATGGTTAATATCTATGCAGGTAGGTCTGCACGGTTGCGCTCCTTCAATGTGTCTCTTTTTCCCTTTTGCGCTTCCCCCTTTTTTTTTTTTTTTGTGACTTCTTCACCCACGCAGTTTTCCTTCTCCGCATCCCTTACAAACGGGTGGACTTACTTCGCATTTCGCTTTTTCGAACTTTTGCTCTCACCTTTTTTCGGCAAACTTGATGCGGAAATTTTTTGTGGCGCAAGGGTTTACATGATCAAATGGAAAAATCGTCCCCTCACAGAAAGGAAGCGGCAAGGGGGGGTGGGCACATGGTAACGAAAAATTGCGAACAGGAAAAAAAAATAAAATAAAATAAAAAATAATAACATACATATTTATGCGTACGTCCGTGCGATGCTCAACCGGTGCGGCAATCGCGTCATGAACAGGAATTTTTTTTAAATTCACAATCGCGCGCTGAGGGAGCAACAACTGGAAGCGTCACTTAACTCGGGGGCCATGGCGCGTAACCCCATTCTTAATAATATCCCATGCGTGTTGTGACTATCATGACGTGATTAAATTGTCCTGTGTTCCAGGTGAAAAATAAAAACACAACACAGTTTTGGAATAGCCCTCGGATAAGCGCTCCTTAAAAAACTGCCTCCCAAGGAGTTGGTCAACATCCCAGCGAACGAATCAATTATTTACTTGTCTGTACATGCTCATGATAGTGACCTCCATTTGGAAAAAAAAATGACAGAGGGCAAGTACAATTTTTGCAAAAATGAAAATTAATGGAATGTAATGACGTAATCTACTCAACAGCAGCAATTTATGTCCAACGAAATCTTCATTTGTGAAAGGTTAACGTCGCTCATTGTGCATCCAAAAAAAAAAAAAAAAAAAAAAAAGCGGTCTGTTAAAAAGGCAAAAAGGGACGTATGTATATATACATATTTTTTTATGTGACCCATATAGGGAAGCCCCTGTTGCCGAAAATAATGGCCTTCAATATTCATTTTGTTGGAAAGACACCTCTGCTATTTCTCCACATTGCACATCGTTGTAAGCAAATTGCTATGTTCATGAACTTGGATGTGCTCATATTCCCCCACACACTTCAGATTAACGCAACATGAGCCTATAAAAAATAACAACTCTTCCATTTTCACCATCTGGTTAGTGCCTTTTTTGTTTTTTTTTTGAGCGGGGGAACCATTATATGCTCGTTTCGGTGACCCAGTTAGCAAAAAAATTCACCTCCACATCACCTCAACCGTTGTTGTAAACGCGGCAACAAAATATGATATCATGTCACAAAAAAAAACGGTTAAATGATCGTACCGCCTATTTCGCTTACCTACTTCAGCAAAACAGACGCATGTGCTCTAAGTTGAAACGTAGGAGGGGGGGGTGTCTTTATCAACTGACATGTTGGAAACATACACGCTTCTCCAAATGAAGAAAGTTCCTTCGGTGAACAGCTGAGTTCCACGGAAACCGCCCCAGATAAGTACATCCCAAAATGCCATCATTTGAGCTCCCCAATTGGAGGGTAAAAATTGGGCAACATGAAATATGCCCAAATGGAGAAATAAAAATGACAGACCCTTAACGTGGTAAGCAGGGGGGGGGTGGTATAATGAAGTGAACAAAACCTACCAGTAATTTCTCGGAATTTGCATTAAATATACAATTCACACCTCAACGTAATCACTTTTCAAGCTGGGCACACGTTACAAGCACAGTCGTGCAATATTAACGCAAAACAGAGGGAGAAACACTCTCCCGTGAATTTTCAAAGTATGTAACTTTTGACTAACCAACTAATAGGTGTGCTTTTAAAAAGCCATAACGTATCACATTACGTTGGCACCCTCTTCACACACGCGAAATATTTTAAAAGGAAAGGTTGCGAATATCATTGGGTTACACTCTATGCATTTGTCTTTCGTTAACTTTCTGTTGTTTCGGATCCGGACTAAAAAAAAAAAAAAAAAAAAAAAAAAAAAAAGAAAAATATCAGGTCCATACCTAGGCATCTCCACAGGTGCACCTTAAAACAGCCACAGCAATGCAACATCAACATATCCAATGTAGACAAAAAATGGTCAAACATGTTCACATCATATAAGTATAAAAATGGCGTTGCGTGGCACCATTAAGCGCAATAAAAAAAAGACATTTTTGAGTATCATTGTGTTTATGTGGTGTTTATGCGCTACAGCTATTATGCCCATTTTTTTTTTTTCGCAATACCTCCCCTATGTCGTATTTCCACAAGTTAGTGTTATTGTACACCATCTGGATCGTGTGCATGAACAGCTGAATGACGTGATTAAATTGTCCTGTGTTCCAGGTGAAAAATAAAAACACAACACAGTTTTGGAATAGCCCTCGGATAAGCGCTCCTTAAAAAACTGCCTCCCAAGGAGTTGGTCAACATCCCAGCGAACGAATCAATTATTTACTTGTCTGTACATGCTCATGATAGTGACCTCCATTTGGAAAAAAAAATGACAGAGGGCAAGTACAATTTTTGCAAAAATGAAAATTAATGGAATGTAATGACGTAATCTACTCAACAGCAGCAATTTATGTCCAACGAAATCTTCATTTGTGAAAGGTTAACGTCGCTCATTGTGCATCCAAAAAAAAAAAAAAAAAAAAAAGATAAATATCAGGTCCATACCTAGGCATCTCCACAGGTGCACCTTAAAACAGCCACAGCAATGCAACATCAACATATCCAATGTAGACAAAAAATGGTCAAACATGTTCACATCATATAAGTATAAAAATGGCGTTGCGTGGCACCATTAAGCGCAATAAAAAAAAGACATTTTTGAGTATCATTGTGTTTATGTGGTGTTTATGCGCTACAGCTATTATGCCCATTTTTTTTTTTTCGCAATACCTCCCCTATGTCGTATTTCCACAAGTTAGTGTTATTGTACACCATCTGGATCGTGTGCATGAACAGCTGAAAAATGTAAAAAGAAAGTTATGACCATTCATTTGATAGTGCCTACGATTAATTAGCTGCTTAAACGTTTGGCCACTCCGTGCAATGAAGAAGTTTTCGCCTGTTCGCACTTTGGAAGGGCAGAAATGCACACAAGTGTGTATGTACATATATGAATAACAACACACGTGCTCAGTGTTATATTTTCACCTTTTTGACGTTCCTTCCCGTTAGTGCCGATGTTAGCCACAGTTGAACCATATTCTCGTTGCTGTGTACAATGGGAGGGGGAGAGGGTGCGAGTTGTATGCAGCTCAACATAAAAACGGAAACGCAAGCCTATATGTACTCTTCCGCACGTACATACAGAGGTACTCTCCACAAGTTGCCCTTCTGGAAAGCCCAGAAACAGAGACACGGAAAAATTTCCAGCTTAAACTTAACGAGCAAAAAATATAATCCTTACGCGAAGTTCTCTGCCTGCCTGACTAACTCACAGTCTTCCGTGACTAAATCTGGCAAAAGACAAAAAAGTGAAATAAAATATGAACAGACGCGTATGTGCCTCTCTCGGGGGGGATCTGTACATACAGCTACCCCCATTACGTACGCATCAATTCCGTTATGATAAAAAAAAAAAAAAAAAGATAACCATATTTATTCCCGACAAGTGATATAAACGGTTTTAGGGTCTACAAGGGGGGCACATTGAATGGAGGACATATGAGAATCCATGAATAGGCGCAGCCACAGCAACCACAATATCCGCGGCAACCACTTCCGCACGCTCGCAGAAAATGAGACAACACATGTTTTCAAATCGTCCTGTGATTACATAATGTCGGTCATATACACTGGACATGTTCGAGTAAACCATCTTAGCGTATTCGAGGGTGGACGCGTTCGTGAGGTCGAAGACTAGAAAGTAGGCCATCCTTCCTGAAAAAAATGCACACAGTTGTTGAGTCATATATGTGTACAGGCAAACAGCAAACCATTGTGAACACTTCCCTAACAGCATGTACATTTACTCATTTGCACTTTTTTTTTGTCCTTCATTTTACCGTAGCTGATTGAGTTGTATTGATCTCCCACTTGAAAAGGAATGGTCGGTTTCTCAAATAAACTGAACACGGGATTCCGCATACTTCTACTATCCGTCGTAACTGTCAAAAAATTCGTGGACACAATTTGATGTAACGAATGCACGGAAAAAACATTTTGCTCATTTTCGCGCTAGCGCCTTAGCGAGCAGACACATGCATCTTCATTTGCACAAATTCACCTGACGCGTTCATACATTTTAGTTGACACTTATTTGTGCAAAAAAAAAAATAAATAAATAAATAATTCAGTACTTTCCTTCCTTAGCATGTTCATAAAGACATTCACATCCACGTTAACACATGTATCTTCAATCTCAACGCAGAAGCTTCTATTTTTCTCCTTGTGTACTTTGTAGTATACGCTTCGAAATGGTGTGAAAAGTTAATGGTGAAGTAGTGACACCACGCCGTGTGCCCTCATGTGTGGAAATGTTTTGCGCCAAAATTATGTATGAACATATTTGCAGTCAATGATGGGAGTGTAGCATAACACACACATCCCCTGCGTATTACGTTGGTAAATCCGTGTGGACATAGTTGCTATAAATGTCATTGTTCATAATGGAATTTATTAGAGCTGTTTTCCCGGTGTTCAAATAACCCAAAACTGTGAGCTGCAGCAAAATCATTTTTTATTTCTGCGTTTAAAAGACACAAACATTTGGGACAATCAATCGTGTGTTTCCACATATAAATGTTTTGCTTCAAAATGGGGAATTACGAACGATAGTTTGACTCGTTGGACTTTAAGATGCCATGGGCGTTGACCCGTTCATTGACCTGTTCGCTGACCCGTTCCTTCTGCCTTCACCTTTTATGCTTACTGAACAGTTGCTAGTAAATGTTGCAAGACTCGTGTCCGCCATGTAATGCCAATCACCCGCTTAAAGAAAAAATGGCACGGAGAAACTATGACCAAATTGACAACATATTTGGATTTACTTAAAAATGGTGCAAGGATAGTCCTACCTTGTAGCTAAAAAGTTACAACTATAATGAAAAATATGAAATGTATTTTTTTTTTTTTTTTTTTGTGTTTGCACCCCATATTTGGCAGCAGTAGTTTCCGCTACACCGCAAAGTAGCCCCTTAATGCGCATTTTGTGCCCCTTTTTTTTTTTTTTTTTTTTGTGTGTGTGTGTGTGTACGCGTGGTGGGATACCTGCGTGGTGCTAAAAAACTACAAATGGACAAGTTGCGCTCTGTATGCGCAAAACCACATTGAAGTGAATAACATTAAAAAGTTTTACTAGTTCCACACCAACAGAATAAGGAATTCGTGCAATTGCACATGGTGGCGAAAAAAGGGGCCACGTGCAGGGATAGCGGTGGGAGTAGACCTCTGCGCGCGCCATAAAAACGAGAAACTGCGCAACCGGTACCCAACGTTACTGCAGCCCAGCATAAGCCCACTGCATATCATAAACCCGTGTCCACTCGGCAGCAACTCTGATTAAGAAGTGCCACAGGTGAACATTCATTTGCACGCACAGTTGTTCAGGTAATGTACATTTAAAATATTTAATTGCCAAATGCTTGAACCCTTCAAAGCTCATTTTTGAAAAAAAAAAAAAAAAAACGCTCTACGAAAGAAATGCAAAAAGAAGTGCGGGATATTTTTTTCGTCAACCCTCCTTGAACTTTCCCCCACGTGGGTATTGCCTCAAAAGACATTTTCAAAAAAGGCAAGTAAGGACACAGTAGCAAATTCCACAGCAACCTCAGGAAAAATGATGAACCTAAATGTAAGCATCGAGTACCTACATATGTGTGTGTGATTCAGCACATACGCTATCGTGTGTCATCCATTTGCATTTGCACACATTTCAAAAAGAAGAAGTTTGTGTGAACACCTGCTTACCATGCTGCTTTTTCTTTTTTCCCCTGGCAGGAAGACACAGACATTAACAAACTGATTGAGGTAAATCATACATCAATTCATTTTTACAAAGATGGACAACTGGACAAGCTGCTGGTGCAGCATACATGATATACGCAATTGCAACGTTGCACATATTTGTGGGGTGCATCGGATTTTTTTTTTTTTTTTTGTATTATTTTATTATTTTTTTTAATTAATTTTTTTTTTTTTAAGGAAAGGAACGAATGGGTAAAGAAGTATGAATCCGTTGAGTCCGAATGTGCAACTTTGAGGGAAAAATTGAATAGGATCACTTTGAACAGTCATGACAAAAATGAGCAATTGCATGGGAACGACGCAATCCAGAGGGATATTTCGATGAAGTTCAAATATATGGTAATCAAATGGGGGAAAGATAGATGTGCATTATAATTTGTGCGTGCTCCTGCACCACCCCCCCATCTCACCGCTCCTCCTCCCCAACGCAGCAAAACCAGTGCGAATTCCTCACCGTCCAGCTGAACATCCTCACCCTGGAAAAGGATAAAGAGGTAAAGAAAAACCAAGACCTGCAATCTACAATCGATAAGCAGAAAAACGAAATAAAGGGATACCAGAAAATTCTTGAAAAAGTAAAAAATATGAATATCTCCTTCAGAAAAGAGAAAAACGAAACTGAAAAAAAATTTTGCACCATTAGAGATAACGACTTATTGACCAGGAACGACAATGTCCTGCTCAAAGAAATAGTAAAAATAAATGACAAGCTGATGCAAGTGAATGAAAAAATAAGAGACAACTTTGAAGAAGAGCTCAACAAGGCCAAAACTAAACTGTCCGTGGCTCATGACAAAATTGGACGGTTCTCCGAGACAGTCAATAATATGAGGGAAAATTTTATCAAGTACAAAAAAAGGAAAGAAAATATTTTGCTAAAAATATTAACAGCCAATGAACAGTTAAAAAAAGAATTGCTGGAAAAAAAAATAACCGAGCAACGCAACATAGAGTGGAACAACCACTTGGAAGAGTACATCACATCTAACGTTTTGATGAATTTTTACGAGGCCAAATACAAAATGAGCGATTTCATCCTACACATTGTGCTCAGTTATGTTAACTCGATGGCCAATTGGGATCATGTCGATGGTGGAAAAGCCGTTGGGTTGGAAAGGGCCAATGAGGGGGATGCAAATTACTCCATTTTGAACACCCTCCTGGTAATGCCTATGGGGGACATTACAAAAATAAAAACGGGATGGACCTCCAACAAAGAAATGTACGATGAGCAAATGAACACTCTAAAGAAAGATCTCCTGTCGGGCAATTTCCCACAGAAGCACCAAAAAAGGAACAAGCAAGATCCTCCCACCAAGGCAGAAAATTCGGAAGATGGTAACTCCATGGAAGAATTCATACGTACCAACCCCAACACACCAAATATTGTAAGCGATATATACTACCACATAAAACTCGTGAATGACATTTTAGAGACAGTGAATGTGACGCTGATTCTGCTTCTATACACACACGAGACGTACTTAAAGGAGCCGCTTAACCACCTCCACCAGGAGGCGTACATTCAAATGCAAGAAAAGGGAAACCTACGATTTGGTGCATACTTTTTTACTGCTCTCTCGAATTTTCTCTTATCTGTCTTGAAATACGTCCATATAGTTAGAGGCACAAATACACACATCCACCACGCACTACTACAACAGGAACAGTTATATACATTTTTCTGTTTAACAAAATATGTACTGGAGGAGTATGTAGAAAAGATAAGAATTAAACTCTTCACGTCGACGATTGATTATCGCATATTGGACCTTCTCAGCGATAAGCTAAGAGACATCTATGATGAGGTCATTGCACACGTGGTGGGGGGACGCATCCAGGGGGAGGGACATGAAGGAGATACTGCACATGGGCAAGTTGTCCCAACAAATGTCACACCAAAATGTAGTACCAATATGGGCAGGGGAAAACCAACGCATGATGAGGCAAAAAACACCAAATTGGTAATCTGCGCGGGTAAGCAAAATAGGGATAGCGACTCGTCACAGAAGGAATATTCGTATGAGGACAGTACTGAGGAGACCACCTCTCTTGACGTATTGGGCCACTTAAATCTCGCTACGGGTTTGAGCATCATATTAATGATCGACCAGGATGTCTACTGTGATGCCTTCCCCGATATGGACGTCAACCAACAGAAGGAAATAATAACGAAATGCCAAGAGCTCCTCAAATTAGTGAAGGCACCCCTCAAAATTACCAATTTTTATTTCCCTATAATGAGGTATAAATTGTCTTTTAAAAATTTTATTATGCACTGTAAAAAATATCAAACGATGGTGATGAGTAGTGCGAATGGAATAAATTACACACATGGGCATACCAACAGTGAGTACACAATAAACCAGGTGAGTGCCTCCATGTTGAACGAACTGAAAAGTATACTAGAGGATGCCACAAGGATCTACTCCATCGATGCGCAGGAAAGGGGGGATCCATACATACTACAAATGTGTGGCAAAATGGTAGAGCTTTACAGAGACGAAGTTGAAGGAAGAGGGAAACAAAGCAAAGAGCAACAGAGAGAGGCTGTCTTAAAAAGAGATGAACTCATAACACAGTTACAAGACGAAGTTACATTGAATAGGGACAAAATAAATGCACTCAATAAACAACTAAACCTACTTACCATAAGGGAAGAAAAATATAACAAAATCAGTATAGACTTGAATGTTTTAAAAAAGGAAAAAAATGAATATTTAAATCTAATCAGCGAACTACGCGAAAGCAAGAACGAAAATGTAAATGAAATTTCCCATCTCACAAAACATTACAATGATATTAAGAAAAAATATAATGACATGTTAAAAAATTATGAACACAAGAAAAAGTTTTATGGCACCCAGAAACAAATGGAACCGTCTAACATTGACACATATTACATGAAGAAAATTATAAATAATCTTTACTATGAAAATTTTTTGACCAAGGTCGGTACACACTACCGCTTGTTTGGGCAATCGGGGTATCCCTCCGATGACACCTTCTGTGGGTCGTCCCCTATCGGTGCATGTAGGAAAACTCCCTTGGGGTCCACATCACACCTGCCACTATACACACATGACGTGGATGATGGCATATCTTCCTTAACAAACCAAATTGGCCCAAACCCAAACCGATCATCAACCAGCGACACCTACTTCACGAACGAAAAACACATCACCCTGTACGACGATATATATAACTGCGAAATAATCAAAGGTAGAATTAACCGTACCCAAAAGGTTTATTTTAAGAATAAACTCTACCGTACAAACACCACATTGGAGAAAATTCTCACATATCACACAGAAGACAAAAACACACAACACATAATTCACATCGTGGACATAATCGAAGAATATAAAAATTTAAAAAATGAAATTTTCACTCAAATGGTGAATACTCCAATTAAGACTAATTGCATCTTAAGGGGGGGAAAAAAAAAGGAACATCAAAATTGGGCACGCTTGTCGGAAAAAGCAGCTCAACTAAAATATGCGATAAGGAAAATTCATGCCGACAATAAGGGGTCCAGGTTATTAAAAGGGGGTCCTCCTGCCTCCGCCAGAAATGTCCTCACCATTTCGTTTCGGGATAGGTCGGACATTTGCCACCATGGGGACACTCCAGAAGATCATGCAATCACAAATGGGCACAACACAAATGAAGGCAACGCACAGGAAAGCTGCAACAATGTTATACTCACCGAACAGTCCTTTTCCTACCTCCTTCACAATATGTTCGATTTGTGAGCCGCAAAAGTTAATCCTCCCCTTTTTTTCCGGTTTGGCTTACATGCCTCTGGGACAATATATTTGCAGCATAAAGTTTACTCCCCATGGCACACAGCCTCGCCACATTTTTTTATTTTTTTTCCTACCATCACTAATCCATGTGTAGCACTTGTGTGATGGTGCCGTTTGGCGCAGAATAAGCCTCGAGAGGTTTTCCGACGTTCTTTCCCCTACTGAGCAATGACGCATTTGAAGCGATTCATATGTGCGCCGAGCCCATATTCACCCTTCACTCACCTCCTGTGGTGGTTCTTCTCATCGTGGGCGGCATAAAAACAAAAGGGTGCATATGCGCACCCTAATGTGGCCTTCCGCTCGTTTCTTCCTTTTTTTTCTTCTTATTTTATTTGTTTTTATTTGTATACATTTTATTCTATTTTATTTATTTTTATTTTATTTTTTTTTTTTTTCATGTGGACCCCTTCTTAAGAACCCATTTTTATTACCAACTAACGGGTTTACGTTACTGCCGCTTGTGGCACGCCATGGAACACCCCTAAGTTGCGCCTCTGCAGAGCTGTGTATAGTACACGTCCCGGCGGAGCTCCTTAGAGATGCAAGCGCATTCATCTCCTCATCTGTTTATCCATAAATGTATTTATGTATATATGTTACATATGTATATATGTGTACATTTTTTCCCCCCCCCCCCACCCCTTTCCGCTGTTCCGAACTGCTTAGCCGCCGAATCGGTGTAGGCCCTCATACCAACAATCAACCAACTCGCAGTGAAAACAAATTAACATCAGGTGCGTGACCTTTCCTTACTTCTGTGTTCCCCCTCCTCCTCGGAGAATGCAACCGCCGCATCATAGGCACTTCATCCAAGAGAAAGGGGAAAAACATTGATGTAGGGAAAAACGGACTAGCCAATCAGTGCGCCCCGAATGTAACCCGACACAATAACCTTATAACGTGCTCGAAATTGTAGAAGCGAGCCTCGACTGTGTGAGGCGATTGTAAATTCCTAACACAGGAGATAATCCATTGCAGGTTTCACTTCCAACAAGGGCAGTAGAAGAAACGCATAGTGCTTCGTCCCTGTCCTCATCTCCACACCCTGTCAAAATGAAAAAAGGCAAACTCCTCGCGCTATCCCAGAGAGGCGAAGTGTGCAGGCAGAGGCGGAACTGCCTGTTCGTCCTTGCCATGAGGAGGAGATACGAGCACATGAGGACAGTTCTGAAGGAAAGCCAAACAACGCAAGACGATGCATACAAAGAGGAAAAAATAAGTGAATCGATTAAACAAGGAGATAAACAAACGCGAAACAAAGAACGAGAAAATATTTTAAACTATTATGATGAGAATAAAAATGTGATAAAGACAACTAATTACATCTTGAGGGAACACTTAAGTCGTTTCATTTATATAAACCAGAGGAACTGTTTTTATAACTACTTTTACAATGCCTTCCCATCTGTCCTGAATAATTATTTGAGACAGGTTAAAAGGGGAAGAGAAAAAACCGCCTTGGGGGACATTTCCACGAAGAACGGTGGCAAGGTTGCTGAGGCAGGAGCCGATTATCATGCCGCTTCCATCTCGTGTACCTCCCCAAATGATGCTTTTGCCCCAAGCAGTAATGAGGAAGCGAAGCGAACCCTAGGCATTCTACAATACTACAATGCACACACGAAACACGAAATGGAGGAAGACAATTTTGTCGACTTCATTAGCCAAAAGGTAAACTGCCTTAACAATGCGCAAGAATTTTTAAGAAGCATAAATGACAACGTAAACTGGCGCAGTATCAGGATGAAGAGTGCACATCTGAAAAAGCTGGAGGGGATTTTCCATAACATAATGGAACGTACAAATGATACAAACGATGTAAATAAAAAAGTAGAAATTTTATTGTACTTGTCTAATGTGTGTAATGAGAATGCCTTTCCCAAGATCCACGAAGGGGTTAAAAAACGTATACAAGAAATTTATGAACATATAAAAAAAAAAAACAAAAAAGGGGTAGATGAATTGTACATTTTATTCCTCTTATATAAACAATTCCTCTCCTCAAAAAGTGAAAAATATGCAAACATGAACGTGGAAACGTATTTGTCCGAAGAAATTTCCTTCTACAATTATTTAAAAAATGAAAATATAAATATGTGTCTGTTGAGTTTAATATATCGCGATTTGTCTTTTCTCAAAAATGACCAAGTCAAATATGTCCTCATGAATTTAGCCTTTTCCAAAATGAAAGATTCGATTTTTTTCTCCAAAGCAGCGGAACTCCAAGGTAGTAACAACCACGGTGGGAGTAAAAATCCAAGTGTTCTCGACCCAGCCAGGGGAGCAAATGCGCATACCAACTTGGTACTACCATTCTTCACGAACACACTTCTGCGAAACAACTTTCTCCAATTTCTACAAAATGATTATATAAGTTCTCCACATACCACCGTGAACTACACAACTAGGCTAAACCCGACCAATGTGAATAATTATATTTTTTACAATTTGCTCATCTCAATTGTTCAACTGAAGGAGTCACAGGCCAAATGGAATGATGCTATAATGAAAAAGAAAATGCAGCTTTTTCTCTGCATTGACAAAAGCAACACACCAGTAAACCAATTATGGGAGATGAAAAATTATTCTAATCACATGAACGATTTTATTCTAAATAATGTCCTTTTCTTTACTTCCCATTTTGTCAAACATAAAATAAATTTCGCACCTAACATGTACCTCTACATTCTCAACGTATACTGCGACCTGTTCGATACGATGAAAGGCTTAGAGCTTTACGCGGGTATTAAAAAAAAAAAAAACCTACTCAGCGACAGCAAGCAAATTGTTAATTATGTAATTAACGAAATATATAAACAGATTAATTTATATACCCTTAAAGAATTCGTTGCTCTCTGTGCCATGATTGATAAGCTACCTCCAAGTTTCACCTTCGAGCTGAAGAACGACGCTGACCATTTGCGCCTTAAAATGAATAATACCTTCTACAAACACGGCAAAGGGGAAAAGGCAGAAACAGCCCTGAAAGAGGAGGGAAGCGCACACTTACGCCGTATTTTGTACGTTCCTTATTGCCAAGCGGGGAGGAAGACCACCGAACGGGCCACAGGACAAGAAATCGCTGCAGAGGGTGAGGAGGGGCCCATTTTGGATCAGCACACCGGTGCAACTCTTGGTAAGCACGAAATGGACTCCCCGTATCAGACAAAAGAAAGCCGCACGGACAAAAAAAATTCACCAAATTATGTCAACGCCCCTTCCGCTGCTCTCTCCAATGGCGTGTCTCATTTAGGCAAACCAGCGGAGGAACCGCTCACCAGCAGACACGTGAACACCAAAGCGAAGAAAAAATCGACCATAATAAATAAACGCGACTTCACCATTTTGATAGCCCTCTCCCTTTTCAACGAAATTAATGACGAGTTTATTGTCCACATAAAGCAAAAAGAGGGGATCCCGGCAAGTGCTGTAAACATGACCAAATCTGATGACGCCATGTTCGAGCACATTTACAAAAATCATTATGAAGCCTTTCTGCGCAATTCCGACTTATACATAAACCATGTGCAGAAAAATTACGACCAAGACACAGCAGAACAGCTACTAAACTATTTTATCCTTTTCACACACATAAGCCAGTTGGATGTTTCCGACCTGTGTGTCCTTATGAACATCATGAAGGAGATTAACAAATTGCAGCCCTTCGTCGATTTTTTCATTGCCAAGCGAGTTGAAGAATTGTTGATGGAGAAAGGCATTGGAGGTGGTGAACAGAGTCGTTCCCACCTCGAGTCAGAAAAGAAGGGGAAGAATTACCACTTCACGGACTCCTACTTGGATGACTACATATCTAGGATTAGTGACAGGGCAAAAACGCACCATGAGGGACCAGTGGCATCTGTCCAAAGGCATAATGAAAGCATCACACAATGGAAGAACCATTTTGACGATATGAACCTTAATACGCATTCAATGTATACAGCTAACTTTGAAAAATATTATCACAACTATGACATGTGTAGCAGTGTACTTAATCTCTTCCTCTTGGTGGACCCCACCAGCTACACAAATCGCGCCATTGCAAAGTTCCTCCCATATGTCAGCCTGAACCAGATAGACATTTTTAAAATTAACTTGGACCACTTTTTAATTAGAGGAGGAAGAGAAAAGGGGCAAGAAAGTCGTACATTTTCCGTGACCCCCCTAACTACACGGGAGGATGAAGACGGGATAGGGGGACTCTCCAACTTTGTGGCAACACAAGGAGGGAGCGGAAACTGGATAAGCAATTGTGAGCAGGAAAAATCCCTAATCAAAAATTTCACCTTCCCTAATGACCGTGATACCATTTCGAGCAGCGGCAACCCCTTCCTTGAAGAAGCAATGAATAGTGCCATCCAGTGGGACCACAATAATCTCGCATATGGAGGCCAACACCCACTGGAACACGAAATCATCTACAAGATAATCGAGGCCAGACTCAAATACAACGTTGAAGTGAAAAATTACTTGTCCAAAAGGGAAAACGAAAATAATGAAGAAATAAAAAACTTTTTAGAAAATGAACTCCTGTCATTAAATCAAATTGCAAATATGCTCAATTGTATTTGCTCCATAAATGACGATGAAAAGTACATGAAATTGGTGACCCTTGCATTAAAAGATATAATCCTGAGCAAACACGAAATTGTGGACATTAAAACATTCCGCCTTATAACAAAAATTCTCATCAACATCAGAAATGTGTACCAAAATATTTTTTTCCCTTCTGAATATTCCTACTTAAATATGCTCACAAAAAATTATGTACAGGTTATGCAAAATTTTTTCCACTTTTTTAATCTGTTGGACTATTTCCAAGCTCTTCAAATATTTACAAAATATAATTTGGCTGGAAAATATTTAAACCATTTAATATCCCTCAACGATGAACTAAACAAAGTGAATATAAAAAATGTGAATGTCCATCTCGTTCATCTGGTTCTATACTTTTATAACAAGTTGAATTATGTCAATGAGAAATTTATTTCCAATATCCTCCACAAGTATGCCTACTCCATCGTGCAGCAGATAAACACGATAAACCTCGACGTGGTTGAAAATTTAATTAAGACCAACGACTTGTTACTTTCCCTGTGCGTCAGAAATAAGGACATTATACAATTAAACTATCTGCTACTACAACGCTATGGAAATTTTTCTCGCCAATTTAAAATTGAGGACAATGATGATGTAGATGAAAGCGGAGTTGCCACCTCGCCCAGTGAACAAAATAGTGTTGCACAGATTGAAGAGGGAGAGTCACGAAAAGTGGATATATTTTCCAAACAGTTTTCTTCCAATGACGAGGGTACGAATGCACACACAAATGGCCGAACAGGGCAAGCCGCCTTTATGAAACCAAGTGAGAATAAAAAAAGGGAAGTGCTTGTAGAAAATCCTTCCATATCTTCTGTCACATTCCAACAGCAGTATAACTCTCTTCCTACTGCACACGAACAAGAGGAGGATGGAAGATTTTCCCTAAATAATAATCACCCCAGTGAGGGCACATATACCCATGGAGCATACCCAATCGGTCACTGTCCACAAGCCCCCTTCGCACCGGAACAAAGGAACGGAAAAGACGTTACCACGAATACCCTAGTTACACACACATGCCATCTTCCTTTAAAACATAAGATAAAAATTATTTACTTCTTGTGCAAATTTCACCACTACAACGACCTCGTGAAATCCTACTACATGCAGCTAATAAGTGAGTGCCTACAGAATACAAGCGCTCTGCTGAATGAAGAAGATTATTGCAAACTGTACGAAATATATGTCCACGTAATATTGAATTTTTATTTTCTCTCCTTCAATAAAAGTAACAAGTACATCAATTTTGTTTTAAGTAATTTGCCATGCTATTATTGGTACAAGAAAGAGGAAGAAAAACTAAACATGTTCGTCTCCTCCAAAGAATTCAGCGACATTCAACATATTTTAAAATTGCTCAATATTGATTTCCTGGCACCGACCTTGACAGAAATTTACTTCATTCATTTTTTTAACGACGTCAAGAAGACCAATCACGCGCTCGCCATCCCAGAAAGTGTCCTCCACTTGTACAAAACATACAACCTCCTCATCGACGACGTCCGCAATAAGAGCGTTTCACTTTTGTGCGTCCCGGAGGAGCACGTCCTGCGGTAAGGCGCGCGCCAACGCAGCGGTGCAACGACGCCATGCAACGACGCGGCTGGTTGTGCTCGGTTGGCCATCTTCTGCTGCGCCATGTCCTTCCCACCCCGTCTTTACAAACCGCCCACTTTTCCTTCTCCCCTTTCAGCGATGAACATGGCAACAACAAAAACCTGATAAAAGACAGCCATTACGTTTACGAAAATATAAAAAAAACGTACCCGACTTCATTAATATTCCTGAGCGAGGTAAATTATCCCCCCCATACAAAAATTGAATTCCTGCACAAGCGTCGTTTCGATTAATGTGCCAGCATATCAACATACACAGCACACACAACAAATGTCTCATGAGGAAGATGCCGTCATATGAGATCATTACATATATCCGTGTGAACAAGAAAAAAGAAGAAAAAAAAAAGTAAACAATTTAACAAAAATGTCAACGTGCAAATGTTAATTTTTTTTTTTTTTTCCCCCCCGCAGTGGAAGACCCTAAATGTGGAAGAAAAATGCGACTACGTCTTGCGCGCTATCCATTCTTCGCTAAACGTCTGAGGTGTGGCGCGGTCTATTTCCCCATGATATACTTCCGAAAATCTGAATGCATTTGTGAAGGTAGCGCACGAGAGCACACGCCCAAGTGTGTTAGTGTGAACGTGCGTATGAGGGTATGCCTCCGTGTAATAGTTTACGCGTGTATGCACGCCTTTGTGAATCTATGTACACCCACAAGCATAAACACGCGAAACGAGCACAGCACGGAAACCTACATTCTACTGAATCTTCGTGTCTTTTTTGCCTCTCCCGTTTTATGCTTTCCAGCTCGGCTTGTTCTGCTTCTAGGCCACCCGCAAAAAAGGCCTCCACACACCTGCATAATCAGTTTGCATCATTTCGCGTATTCAATAAGTAAAAGAAACAAAAAAAAAAAAATTCCTCACAATCGCGTTTACACCTATGTGTACATGCCAGACAAGGCATGCGGTGCAGCCAGTCTCAATGGGTAACCTCCGCTCGTCCGCCTTCACCGGCTTGTGGTCGAGAAATGTCAGCCGCTTCAATGTATGCACAAATAACTTTCTGTAATTTTTGTATTTCGACATCTGGTGGGAAAAAAAAAAAATTATAATTTAGCGCGCCAACTAATTGGGCACAGAAAATAATGGGTAGGTACACAAGTAAAAAAAACGGGCGAGCTGTTATAAACGGGGGGAAGTCTTTTTTTTTTCCCCTTAATTCATCCCCAAGGCAATCTCTATGTTAACGCCCCACACGGTATATGCCATTCGAAATCACACCAATGTGGGCAGATGCACACGAATTTGGACGTGCCTTCGCTTAACACATTACCATTGGGTTGTTCATGCAATACAAAATGGACAAATCTTTCACATCGGAGAGGTCCTTTAAAATGTCCTCGTCGATACTATTGTTCTGTATGTTCAAAATGGTAAGCTTCTCATTTTTGCGCAAGTTAGAAACCTGTGCAGAATCTTTACTTCCCAAGCAGTTATTGCTCAAATTTAAATCCTCCAATAGGGTTAAATTTTCTGCAAAAAAAATAAAAAAACAAAAGGAGAAAAAATCCAACACACACCAAATGGCATTGCCCATGTGTGCATATATGACCTTAAATATTTGTGAAAGGTTAAGGGGCGTATGCACATGTGTGATGACGTACCCAGATTTTCGATCGAGCAAATGTTGTTGTCTTCCAGATTTAAAATGCGCAGTTTGGTTAGGCAGTCCAGGTTCTCGATCTTCGAAATTCTGTTGCAGTTCAGGTACCTTCACGGTGGAGCGGTAGGATTGTAACGCGGTAATAATGGTGGACCACTACACAACCACACAACATGCAGACCATTTCCAAAATGGAAGTGACCACAAGTTTTCTCCTCGCACAGGACACCGCTCAGCTGTTCACTTACAACGCAATAAGGTTCACACAGGAGTCCAATCCGGAAATCCTATCGAGAACTAAAAACAGGTGGGGGTACGCATATGAGGCGTGTGTTTATGAGAGGCTCACATGTGCGTGTGCGTGTCACTTTCACGACCACGATTACTGGGCTGCATCTACGACCATCGCTTCTACATCCATGCCGAACCGTTGTTGTTCAGGTAGAGGGTCCGCAAGTTATGCAGACCACGAAGTGTTTCTATCTTCCAATACAGCTTGTTATTTAAGTACAGAACATCGTTCAACTCGATGACCGAATAATAGACCTCGTTTCTCTGGACCTCCCTTTCAATTTCTTGGTCGCTCAGGATGTATTCCATGAGACAGCTTGGCGAGGAGCAAATGACGGTTACAAGTTGGACAGACTTCGAAAATTTTTCTTTTTTACGCTCACCAACTTTTCACTTAGTCTAACCAGCCCAAGGGCACAATTTATCCGACCATATAATTTTTTTTTATCATTTAATTGTTTGGAAATAAATTAAACAATGGGTACAATTTAAAAAAAAAAATATGTTAAGACCTTTTAAAATTATTAATAATACATAAAACGATATTACATCATTAAAGAAAAGGAATTCATTCAGATTCTACACATTTGCATACGTACATCCACCCCTATATTAATGAGGACATATGCAATGTAAGAGAATGAATAAGGGAAGGAAAAAAAAAAAAAAAAAAAGAGAAAGGAGGGGGGCAAAATTTGGCAAGTTTCATAACGTGCATACACTTTTTTGTATCGCACGGGGATGGCAAAAAGAGAAAAAAAAATTAACTCTTAAAATTATTAAAAACAAAAAAAAAATAATAAAAATTAAAGGGTTAACTTTTTTTTTTTTTCCTGTTTTATTTTCATTCCTACACACATAATTGTGTGTTATCCGTGTCTATATAAACATATTCCTAAATGGCGATTGTGTCATTATTATGTATATTATTTTAATAAAAATCAATTTAAAAAAAAAAAAAAAAACAAGCGTAAAAAAAAAAAAAGAAAAAATTGCCTTCAGAAATTAATTCTGAACATACGTATTGTTCACCTTCCATATGTTATCTTCCTTCTTTTTTCTGCAAAAAGGGCAAAGTGGGAGAAAAAAATAAATAAATAAATAAATAATTTATCACGCCTGTCCATGTGTACTTTCATTTTAGTAACTTCCGCATAACACACACTGGAAGCTCACGCGCGGATGCACTAGCTCTTCATTACCTCTTCGATATGGTACTCATCAGGCAATTTTTGTTTTTCTCGATTCGTTCAATAATTTCAAAGGTGGTGATACCCTGCGCGTGGAAAGACATGATCAATCGTGTGGTCGCGTGCACTTGCGAAATTACATGAATACATGCATGAAGGTAAAACATACACACCCATTTGTATGCTGTTCCATGCCAATATTCACGTCATTTTTTGTTGACTCCACTCGCACCGCCTTCCTTCCTCTTACCGATTCCGAGGAGAGCTCCTGGTAGATGTTCAACTTCTTCGGAACGGCATACGGATCCAACTCATTGTTCGAGTAAAAGTAATCAACAACGGTCCCCCTGACCACAACGTCTATTTGGAAGCGCTTAATGAAGCTCTCACTGATGAGCCATGGGGCTCCTATAACTACGTCGTCCACAACTTTCATGGCTAACACATTTAAAGTCCTCTCCAGTAGGGACACGACGGGGAAGTGCTTCCCTTTCATTCTGCGCACAACCTCGTCGGAGTGCAGACCTACAATCAAATAGTCCCCTAATTTCTTAGCATTTTCTAATATTTTCAAATGACCAATGTGAAAAATGTCAAATGAACCATCCACGTATACTACTTTTTTGTTTGCTTTTTCTTTTTGGCTCTCCATGAATTGATACAACTGAGATGCCGTTACGTAACATTTATTTTTGCTTAAGGCGTGTTTTAAACTGGTTATGGAGTCGGATGTTTTAATTTTGTTGTCCGACCCCGCCGCTGCTTCCATGCCGTTGGTTTCGTCTTCGAAGTCTTTCGAATTCGATTTTGATTTTTTACTTAGGTTACATTTTTCACCTGTGCCGTTTAGGCAATTTCCATTACTATATGGGACCGACGCTTTGTCGTCCTCATTGTTGTTGGGGTTAGGGTTAGCAACATTCTTTCCAGCAGCATTTGTGCTCGGCACAGTTCCTGCACCACTAGCCATACTGCTTACAACGCCGCTTCCCCCCACGCCATTCGCTGCGTCTCCATCGGACAGGCTTTTATTAGAACTGTTAACCGCCTGCAACAAATGGTTAATTATGGTCGTGGTGGAAATACCATAACTTCGTTCAAATATTTTAAACCTGTTATTTTTTTTAACCTCTTCATAACAACAATTACCATTGCGATCATATGCAATATCACTACCATGGGCAGCGTAATCGCAATTGTATTTCACCAGCAGCTCCATACTCACGTTATACTTGGTACCTATAATAACTTCGTCAACCCACTTACACCCGGCTATCAATGCCCCTCTTTCTTCCTGATTATATATAGGCATAACACCCTTGGAGTTTAGGGCATCCTCATCTGAATTTATTCCAACTACCACAACGTCCCCTAATTGTTTCGCTTGTCTCATGGCATTAAAATGACCAGAGTGAGACAGATCAAAGATACCATCCACATAAATTCTTGTAGCTTTATTTTTTTCATTATTAGGTGTATTCATATCAATGTCGAATTCGTTAATTTCTTCTGAACTATTGGAGAGCGAAGCACTCAAGTCCTTTGATTCTTCATACACGTTATTACTATTGTCCAGCAAAAGGTTGTTATTGCACCTATTGACAATTCCTATATGTTTTCCTATGCTCATTAGGGTAACATTGCCCTGCTTGCCACCAGCACCAGCACCACCTCCTCCCCTGTTGTTCTCACTAAGCTTACTACTTACATTTTCGTCATTACTAATATGATTCAATTCGTTCAAAAATATTCGCAAGGTCTCCTCATCTTCTTCTATATTGCAGTTTTCACATACCTGGCATATCAAATCCAGGTTTTTGCTTTTATTTAAACTTTTCAACAACCCTAGTACCTTTTTCAAATTTCCATGATTGTAAATTGTGTTGACTAAAAATTCGTTCCTCATCATCTTGGCATGTATAAAGCGTACGGTAGCGTCCACACACGTGTCCGCGTATGTAACGATGCACCTATATATATATATAAATATACTTATAGGTGGGTACACATGTATGAGTATCTTATACACATATGAACATATGTGCAACTATACTCACATAAAGTGAAGCACTTGGTTGGTAACACCTTTTCGCTTAACCCATGCTTCCCTAATCATGACGCGCTCACAAGACATTCACAGGTATAGAAGCAGATACGCGCAACGAACTGCTCCAGGAATTCTCTACACGCACAGAAAAAATAAAAAAAAAAAAAAAAAGCCAAGGCGTGCCACGCAAAAAGCGGTCAAGGAAGGAGGGGGAAAAATAAAAAAAAATTGTCAAAAAAAATTATGTACAAATGTATGGCTTGGTGGGGGGAAAAAAAAGGTGCGGCACGAGCGCTCTTTTAACCGTGCACAGAGACCATACACATAAATGTATATATATTGCCGCAGCGCAATTAAGGAAAAAAAAAAAAAAAAAAAGACAAAAAAGGTAGAAAAGCAATATAACGTAGAAAACAAAAATAACTATGAATCATTTAGGACAAGGTCTGTTTACTACTCTACCTATCCCCACACGTTGCACACTTGTCCTAACGCATCCTCACGCTATATACAAGCAAAGGTGCATATGTTTGCATATAACTACCTCTATGCCTACATAGACGAATGGCCAGTTTGACCAGTCACAATGGTGCAATGGACGAGCAGCTCGGATCGTACATAGAGTGGACTCATATATATATATATATAATGACACGTAAATATGGGTTATGATCACATAGTACAAAGATAGGCATGCCAACCTGCACACATTCCGCACGTAGACACACATACACATTTACATAGGAGCATGAGTTCAGTCAAACGTCGCTGGAAATGAACTCACTAACGTCATTACTGCTTCTGTACAAATATGGTATTATTTTGCTAACTTTAAAATTCCAACACGAGAAAAACACTTGGCGCAAAATGGGGGTAGGGGTCCCACGTTACGCAGAGAGAATGCACGTTTCCTGATAAAACGGGGGGAAGTGACATATGGGGGCACAAATGTCAAGCACTCGATGTCAAATATGACGGGTGCTAATTTTGCACAAAATGTAGCATAGCACAATGGGAGGTAGTAAAATAAAGCAAAATGCAACGTCCTGGGTGCAGGCGGGAAGGATCACGTGTTTAAAAATACACGTTTGCGAACAATGCACGCATTCGGCGTTATGCATATAAATAGGGGCCACGGAAAATATGGAAATCTCATATACATGGGGTCACGTTAAAAATTTCTCATGCATGAAATGGCTATCTTTATACGAAGGGGGGGGGGGCATCTGAGGCGCTAGTATACTTGTGGCGGGTGGACATGTGCATACGTGTATGTGTACCAGTCCTCAATGTATGTACATACAAGCACACTTATATGTGTATGTAAACACATACACGTGTAACATATACATACACGCACGAGTACGCTCTCTAGGGGTGGCCTTGACTTGGAGTAACCTTCGCGACAAGCGGTTTACTCAGTTGCCTTTAGTTTCAGCATGCCGGGAGGCAGATTTGCTTTCCCATACGTATATACATAGGTATATTTTTGCAAGCGCGTTCATGTAGTTCATGTACTTTAGAGGATCACGCGTGTTATGAGAATTCTCGCGCACGCGCTGCTCAAACCAAAAAGTTTCTTCTTCGTTACGCCCATGTATTCGCAGCGCAATCATGTGTTTATAGTCACGTTCACATGATGTAATGGGCAAGGGAACAGTGGTTATAAAACTCGCGCGGGCGTTAAATGCCTCTTAAAACAGTTGCGCGTATATCACAGGGGACGAACGAAGGCAGATGATGGGAGAAATGGGCAGGATGAAGCGAGCTTCAAAAAAACGAGCTCCACAAATGAACCGCAATAATGATGCGCGAAAATAATGGGCAAAAAATTCAATAAAGATGGGAAGATTATAAAAAAAAAAAAAAAAAAAAAAAAAAAAAGAGCGCATCGCTTCTTACACTATACATACAGCAGTGTTTTATAAAATTTCTGGGAAAAAAGAAATTTCGGGGGGAAACGAAATTTGTGGGGACAAAGAAATTCCTGGGGGGTGTTTTTTTTTTTTTTTTTTTTTTTTTTAACATGCGCGGGAAATAATTTTCCTCTCTATATAAATAAAACAATGTGTTTTAATTCTGATAAAATGTGGTGGGAGTTAAAAAAAAACATAAACAAAATAAACAACATTAACATGCAAATGGATATATATATCCCTTTGTAAGTGTACACGAATTGTATACATATATCTGTGTACAAAATAATGGTGTAGAAGTACACTTGGCGCGAACTTGGATGCGTACAAAAAATATGTGCAAATACTTCCGCGCGCAAAATGGCCCGTAAAATTGCACTAAATTTTGGTAACAACAAACGTTCTATATGAAAATGCATGAATGTAGCCACAAAAATTATATGTGTTAACAAGTTAAACGTGAGAGAGCAAAAATGTGAAATGAAAGCGCAAAAATGTAAAGGCGCAAGAACGTACAAACGTACAAACGTACAAACGCTCATATATATATCACTGTGCTATACATATATATATATATGTGGTGCTCTGCACAACATTCCTGGTAACGGAACCATCATGTTGAATTGTGTACACCATATATACCATTTGGCTATTCAACAAATCTGTCATTCCTTCATTGTTGCTATTTTATTGCCCAGCCATTTCACAATTCACCCTGATTGCAACTTTGCCTATTTATACTATATTTACATATGTTCAGTTCATGTGTACTACGTGAACTTTTTCAGCGTTGTAAACAAAATTTGAGTTTCATTACAAAAATGTAAAGGGGAAAAAAAGGAAAAAGAATTAAAAAAAATGAAAAGCTCGTTATAAAAAAATTACCTTCCAATACTGTTCATAATTTTAAAAACAAGCAGATCGCATAAACAAAGTACACATTATTTTTGTATGTACATATAATTCGTTATACATACAAATAATACGCAAAATATGTATAAATGTGTGAAGTGTATGCTTTTTTATAATGAACGGAATTATGGGGGGCTGCTCTTCAAAGGGCGTAGCGGCAGTTTTTTTTTTTCTTTTTTTTTGTTCACTCAGCGAGGAAAAATCGCACATTCGTGAAAGAGGTATTTTATGTATATGTTTTATAATATATAATACATATATATATAATTAATATCACATCACTTAACGGCTCCGTAGAGAATGTACAAACATTTATGCACATGTGCAAAAACAATAGCCATTTTTTGTATATATAATTTCTTTATTCATAATATATATATAAGCATAGTGGTATAATTATAGTTCTATCATGTTAACACCATCCCGACAGAAGGCATGAGAAACTATGCCCCTGAATACTTAAACGTTACGAATATAAGTATGTATATATATATATGTACACCACATGGTAACTGCTTCACCTTTCACCAAATGAGAGAGATATCATTGTCACTTCTTTTATTTTATTTCTTCTTTTCCTGTATGTATAAAAGTGTGCTGCTGCGGAGAAATACATAAACATTTCTGTATGGTACGTAATCATTCATGGTCCCTGCCTTGGCTCTTGTCCCAACACCGAAAAAAAAGGGAAAATTGTACCCATGATGAAACTGTGTAAAAGGACGCAAAAGTACTAGTTCGAATTCACACAGTAGCACCCGAAGTTGCATAGCAGTTATGCACACCACGTTTACACATGGGTCCTCATTTATCCCCAAATAACGGTACAAATATAATCTCCCGTTGATAATTTGTGGGTCGATGCCAGCGCTTAATGCGAAAAATTAAAGCTGCCCCCCCGCCAAGATGACCCGTTTTGCAAATTTTTTCGCTTGCTAGGTATTAACCAAGAAAAAGGAAATGACGCAGTGGGCGTCCAATTCCAAACGGTACATTTGTTTTGTTATTGACTCAGTCTATGGAAACAAGTCTGCATTCGCTATTGCGCATACAAGTGCGTGCATTGGGCATTCCGCCCCGTTAGGCAAGTAAAAATAATTACGTCCATTCATGTTGCGAAAGAACAAATGAACCATCGTGCAGAATGACCCATCTTAAGAGAACATTCTACGCGCATGCACGAGTTCCCCCTTCTTATAATTGTACTGGTGACCTACGGATTGCAAGTGATACACATAATTGGCTGTATAAATGAAGCATAAAAAAAAAAAATGTGCATAAATCAAAACTTTTTTTTGCAAAACCCAATTTAGCAAATATTACTGTCTGGGGTTATGGATCCTCCGGTCGCCTCCAATTGGGGGCTCTTAAAAGGGAAAGAAAAAAAAAAAAAAGAGGAAATGAAATATCCTTGGGTATGCGAAACAAATTGTTACTGTGGACAAATGCCAACATCGCCATTACATCCCTAGATGTAGTTACGTCGTTCTGTTTCAAATCATTACTGTCGCTTTCCTTTTGCGCTCTTTTTTTTTGGCCGAGTGGGGCACTTCTTCGTGATCTTTTCCTATTTATCATTGGAGAAAAAACAAAAAATGAAATAATAATAAAATAAGGCTCCTAAAACATTTGGACTTGCGCTTTTACACCTACAACATGGGATGCTAATAGGCTCTGAAGTTGCTCATTTTTACCAGCTATTAGGAAACCCATTTTATTCTTTCTGCCTTTAGGGGGAACTAATGTGTGCAGGGAAAAAAAATAAAATGTACACATGTACAAGGGTGAGTTAGACGAGAGTCACATTTGAGTTTTCGAAAAATAACCAATTTTTTTTTTTCACCTGAGCAAAGGATTGCCCTGTCCACTTGTGTCTCCTCACTTCCCAACTTCCTGTTATAATTCTTTTGTGAGGAGAGCAAAAGGATGTAACTAAGAAGACATGTCCAGGAGACAGTTACATGTACATATTAGTGATACGGTCTATGTGTTGCCGCGTTTGTACTCGGCTTTGCTTCATTACAAATACGATGAATTTACAATCGGCGATTTTGTTGCACCTGTGAGGGAGGACACAAAAGAAAGGGGGGAACCAGAAAATAGAGCACGCCGAGGTAAAAAAAAAAAAAGGTGATCGCATGATCAACCAGCTCGCAACGCGCTAAGTTGACCCTCCCCACCGGCGCCTCTATGAAAGATACAGAAGAAAATAGTTTACACTCAACGGCACTCATAAAGATTCTGCAGGTGCGTTAATCATACTCGACTGCTGCTTCCTTCGGCATGACGTCCTTTCTAATTATCATCAAGACGTGTTCGTCGTGACACTCCTGGCGAGGTGTGCACAGAAAAACGCAGACGTGTGTGCTGATGTTTCAAATGGGGGTCTATTCTGTACATTCCCTCTTTTCGCACTGTTCGAAATTTTTGCTCTTGTCCCATTTTTCCCCTCTGCGTGGCGTTTCACGTCAGACGTACCCCCATCATGTTCAGCGAAAGGTTGAAATTCTTCATTTGTTCTGTGGAAGGAAAAAAAAAAAAAACAAATGCACGCACACAACGTAAAAAAAAGAGGACAAAAAAAAAGAAAAAAGGTAATCATCAGCGTGACATGATTTACAAACTTCCACTGCCTAAACCTTTTATGTGGTCCTCCTTAATTGCGGTAATCTGCACAGAAGACGATTTAAAAAGGGGAACATAAAGTGGAAACAAAAAAAAAAATAGAAAAAAAAAAAAGAAAATTCCCCCTTACCCAGTACTTCCTCGGGCGAGCGATGACCCATTTCTGTCCTTCAAAAAGGGCATATAATTTAAGCACTCTCAAATAAACATTAACCAAATGGTAGGAAAATTTCGTAGCACGTAAATATAACAAAAAGGAGAAAGAATGGCGCCAACGGTGCGAAAACACATAATTGGAGGACTAGACAAATGGACAACGTGTAACAAAATGAAGATCACACATGAACGAATTAGGCATTTCCCTCCAAGAAGGACATACACTGTTTTTTTCATTCAGACATTCAAACCCTATGCTCAAATATAGACATATAAAGTTTTAATACCAGAACAAACCCAGTTAGCCCCCGTATTCTTGAGTTCATTCTCGTCTTCATAAAAAAGGGAATTCCGTAATGTCCTCTTTGGAGAGTAGGAGACAAAATCGCACTCCTTCTTCGATGCACAGATGTCCAACACAGTGTTTAGGTTCAGGAGCTTTTCCTATAGAACAGGGGAAGGGAGATGGCAAATGTGCTTAGAACACGTATTGGTAGTTACAAATGATGGTTACATGGGGGGGAGGAGCAGCACTGCCATTAGCGGACCTCTTCGTGGTTTTATAACCATCCTCAAAAAAAGAGGTATTAAAAAAAAAAAAAAAAAACCTACCGTGTTCAGAGCCTGGATAATACTTCCCCCTTCGCAGAACTGAAGGGATGGGACAGGAAATGCACGTATATATCACGAATGCACAAATGGGTAACCACATGCACATAAAACGTAAACGCAGGGAAAGCACAAAATGTTTTGCAGAGACAAAAAGGTGCAATGATACGAGCACTGTATAAAATAAACATCTCGGAAAGAAAAAACATATGAACGTGGCGATCTGCAAAATGATCGCATAATGAGCAAGTAAAAGCAAGTGGAACGCAAACACGTGCAGGAGATTTTATTTAATCACCTTCTGTGAATTGTTTAAGAAGAGAAAATCCGACAAGTGCCCCTTCACCTCATTTTCCACAAGCGTCTTCGCTACCCCCATGCTGCAGACCCCTTCAAAAGGAAACAATTAAGAAGTGCACACCACGTGAATGTTAACATACAGTTTCGCGCGAAAAAAAAATATAAAAAAAAAAAAAAGGCACTTAACCAAGTGCTGCTTAGAAAGGAACGAAGCAAGGGTTAAACATTAAACCCTCCGATCATACCAAACAGAGCTAATGTTAGAGCCAGACAAAAGACAACAGAAATATTCTTCTTCATTTTGAAAAACATGGGACAAACGAATGGAACAAATATAAGAGCCTCTGTACTAAATATAATTTGCAGGAATTTTCTCCATTCTCACTGCAACAAATGTACATGCACAAATTGCGAAGCGCTGTGAAAAATATAAAAACACGTAGACAGATGGGCCAAAGGAGGTAAAGGGAAGAAAAAAATGCACCTTGTGTACGTACACAGTTATTTCCTCCTTCTGAGAAGAAGAATGTTACTCGTAAATTATTTTCTGTCCCCCCATTTGGAGTTAACTGCATGGGTGAACATGGTGAATATTACAATATCGCTAAATTGTTCACTGAAAAAAATAAAATGACTTTACACAACGTGTGCTGAGTGGTCGTGCTTACCTTCGCACGCTTTTATTTCAGAAAAAAAAAAAAAAAAAA